AATATTCAACTCCTTGCAATAACTCACCTGACCACGTACTCTTCCGGTTGTAAGACGCCAACTATTTCCTCCCATATCTTCAAAATCAACATGCCAACCTTATTAACTGAAATACTAACTACTATATATATATATATATATATATATATATATATAAATGACAACCTTAGGATATTTACTTTCCTTTGGTTTCATCATATTTTTTTTTTATATATATGTGATTGACAGCCTTAGATATTTACTTTCCTTTGGTTCCATTATTTTTTTTGTATATCAATATACAAAACCGATAATACATTCGCAACACCGAGAATCACCTCCAATTCTCCATAATATATACCAATCGCTCTCCACAATACCATCATGACGTTATTAGTAAAGAGCAAATCGATAAGGCTCAAAGGGGGTTACTAGCGAATTTATTTTCGTAAAAGAAAACGGGGAATACAAAGAATGCCTCAATCATATTCACATTACACAAATTCGACTTATTTATTTTAAAGAAGACTCAAGGCAAATCCCAATTGACAACAATTTTGACCAATATCTCACATAAAAAGAAACGAACCAGGCTCAAATATCACAAGGTAACATAATTGTTAAACAAAACAACTAAGTCTTTCATCAAGATATATCAATTATTCACATAATCGCAACTTCTTAACTTAATCCACCGTTATCGACTAATCTTGCAATTCACCATTGTGCAAGTTCAGAAAAATATAACACATAATCCTACAAACTTGACTGGTCCACCAAAGAAGAGAAAAAGAAATAAAAACAACCTAAAAATACTAGACCTGATCAACCATATAGCCACTTAAAAACGCAAAAATCCCCCCACACTTAAAATTAGACAATATCCTCATTGTCAATCCGAAGCATAGAAGAATTAACCACACAAGCAACCGACTCGAAAATAAAACAAGTGAAAAAAAATAGGTAAAGAAAGACATAGAAAGCACAGTGACGAGTCACTGTGCACTCGATGATGGTGGCTGAGATGGTGGTGGCTAAGGAGGGTCGCTGCTCCGGGTACTCCAACGGGTATCCCATTGGCTAAAACGGGAATCCCAAGTGCTCCATTGCTGGTACTACTGCTCCGCCCAGGTATCCCATCGGTTGTCATAGGCCGTCCGGTGTTCTACACTAGTCTGTACGAACTCGTTCCACTGCCTGGCTTGCTCCGCCCAACGCTTGTTGTTAGACTCCACGAACGACACCCAACGTGCATCAATTCGGGCCTCATACTCGGAGAACCAAGCTGGAGCAGCCGACTGGAAAAATGCACCAGTGTGCTCGTCCATCGACGGGGAAGGCTGAATAGTGTGCTGAGCGGGGTGCTCTCCGGCCTCCGTAGCCGTCCCGTCGTCATCATGTGAGTCCGCAAGAGCTGGATCGGATGATGTACCGGCAGTCGGCTGGGACGGGTCTTCCGGCACGTGTAAACCCATCTCCCTCAAACAAACCTTGTAACACTCTCGTTGGGTGACTGGGAAGTTCTACCACCACCATGCACTTGGAGGGAAGCGTGTTGGGCGAGACGATGGAAGTCGAGGAAAAGGACGACTGGAGAAAATCGATTCACGAACTCCTTCAGGGTCGAGTACCTATGGGAGATAAACAAGAGGCAGAAAGGGTTGCACGATATCTAAGCAAATACTTTGAAGTCGATGGTGTCATGTTCAAAAAGTCTTTGGTTGGGCCCCACTTGCGATGCGTTTCCGAAGACGAAGGAAACCATGTCTTGAAAGAAATACATGAAGGATGTTGCGGAGCACATATAGTATCACGAGCCTTAGTAGGCAAAGCTCTGCGAGCAGGATATTATTGGCCCAAGATGCGAGCAATGGCGGAACAGCTGGTCCAGAGGTGCGAAAAATGTCAACGTCATGGGCAAATCACGCATAATCCCGCCGAATATGTGACAACCATCAACACCCCAGTCCCCTTCGCGCAATGGGGAATTGACCTGGTAGGTCCATTGCCAACAGGAACTGGGCAGAGGAAGTTCTTCGTGGTCGCTGTCGACTATTTTAGCAAGTGGGTCGAAGCAGAACCGTTGGCGAAAATCACAGAGGAGAAAATGATTCAGTTCTTGTTTAACAACATCTGCTGTCGATTT